CTTCTTCTTTGCCGCTGCCTCCACCTCCTGCTGCTGCTGCCTCTGCCACTGGTTGCGGGCTCAGTGATTGTGCAGCCCTTTGACTCCTGTTTTTCCCTTCCGTTTGCTAAGCCCCATAGCTTAGCAAAAGAAGGAAAATGCAGCAGTCAAAGGGCTCCCTTTGATCCCTTATTTTCTCTTCCTTTGGGTTAGCAAAAGGAAGGGAAAAATCACGGTCAATTTTTCTAATTCAGGGTTGGAAAAGGGGGGGGTCGTCTTATACATAGAGTCGTCTTATAAACTGAAAAATATGGTACAGTATGTAGTTAAGATCTCACTCCAGGGACGTGGTGGTGCTGCGGGCTAAACCGCAAGAAGCCTGTGCTGGAAGCTCAGAAGATCAGCATTCGTAAGATCGAATTCACGCGACGGAGTGAGCTCCCGTCGCTTTGTCCCAGCTCCTTGCCAACCTAGCCGTTTCAAAGCATGTAAATCCGAGTAGATAAATAGGTACCATCTCGGTGGGAAGGTAAAACAGCACTCCCTAGTCACGCTGGCCATGTGACAAAGGAAACTGTCTTCGGACAAGCACTGGCTCTACGGCTTGAAAAATGGGATGAGCACCGCCCCCTAGAGTCAGACACGACTGGACTAAAAATGTCAAGGGGAACCTTTACCTTTTTAGTTAAGATCTCAGATTAGAGACTTATAACACTGCCCTGTCTCTGTTGACCACAATGTTGAGCACTCAAAGCAGTGCTGGTTCTTTTGGACCACAACTCACAGAAACTCACTGTGGTGCCCAAGCCTCCCTAAGGAGCGCTTAGCACTCAGTCAGAGGGTTCAACAGGCCACTTACCTACCACTTTTGCACTGAGGCAAGTCCCAAGAACTCAGCAGTGTGGAGCGTAAGCCCCTTGAACAAGTCTGACCTTAAAAGAACATTTTACTTTTACCCAGTACTTTGCAAGTAGACACTTGGGCTTTTTGATTCCTTAGAACTCACAACAGTTCAGTTAGGTAGGACTCTTAAAGATAGCTAGTTTATGGCCCTCTCAACTCCCTGGATTTAGCCAGACCCTGCTGTTCAAAATACCAGTCTTTTGTAAGAATTTTTATAATTATTTTTATTAGAAAAATAGAGTTTCATAGAATCAGTTTATATTGCTCAAACGTTAACATAAAGAACATATTCAAAGATTATTACAGTTAAATAAAATAACTAATCCCCATTAAAATAAAAAACATATAATATAACCCATCATCCATTTTCTACAGTCTCTAACTCCTCCCTTCTTCTTGACACGTCATGTCTGTTAATCAATTAGCCCCAAAGGGCTGTAACACCTTCTTCCGCCCTCAATTCCCATGAAAATCCAGGCATTTTATCTCTTCTCCAATTAGCTCGAAATGCTGAGTCTTCCACGGGCCTCTTTGTTCAACCTTCAGCTTTATCTCGAACGGCACCGGTTTTCAGAAAAATACTCTCATAGCACTTAGAAAAACACATCCCAGTGACTCTCAAATCATCTTCACCCAGAACCTGTCTTACTCCATCTTACATTTCTCTCCACACTGCTTCAACTCCATCATACTCACAATCAGAGGGTCTCTTACAGTTATAGTCTAAAAACCAGATGTTTGTTAGTAGAAGTATGGTCTCACTTCTTAATATGGGAACACAAAAGTCTTCTGGGGCTGAATTTAGAATTGCTGTACTTTAAATTGTAGTCGTGAGACTTACACTGCATTATACATTACAAATACAATACAGTACAAATTTGGTATGTTGATGATTTGGCTAAAAATATTGACCAAAGTGAGTCCAACAATTTTATATAGCACTACATTAGCACATACATTCCTCACATGTTCATATTTCTCCCTACCAGCAGGCAGGATGATACTAATGCAACAGGCTTAGCAAGTGGCTACTTGTGCACAATGGTGGCAATTTTGTTGCTACATGTTACACCATTTAAGGCATATAATGGCGGAAATCTTGTTGCCATAAATGACACCATGTAAGGCTGATGATGTTATCAGCAATGGTAGGTTTGTTTGTTTTTTGGTAATTTAAGCATTTCTAATTTCTCCTCCAAAGGTTCCAAGGCTCTAGTGGGATCACTTTCATAGTTTAGAAGCCACTGGGAGCTACATCATGGAGGAGGAAGTATTTAATGATTGAAATGTGCCACCACTAGGAGAGTCATCCTGGCAGCAGTGATTTTCAATAGCAAAAGGTTCCTCCTTCCCATTTTGTGGCCCCTTGCAGACCTCCTGAATCATGAAAATGATTCCATGAAAGTCTTTGGACATTTTAGGGAGAAACTGGGAATGTTTAATTTCCAGCTCCTTCTGATGTCATCAGCCTTCTGTGGTGTAACTTACGCAATACGATTTCAGCCTATAACTAGCTAGTACTTAATAAATAGGTTATGTGTTTTAATACATGAATTAAGAAAGTGGAAGGAAAAACAAGATGTTTGCCTATTAAAAATAGAGTGCTTAAGTATTATAGTTACTCTTGGAGTATACCATTTATTTTAAGCAGTTAGTAGTTGCCTCTCTTAAAACATTATACTAAACTTACTGAGTTCCACCAAGCAACATGTGAATAGCTTTTGTTTCCATGGTGGGAATTCTTCTATTACTTCTCCCATGCAACCCTCAACTTCCTTTAGCTCTCCACCAAAACATTCCCCAATCCGTTGGAACAGATTTGGAGAGTGTTCAGACATCTGCAGTGGGGAGAGGGTATCCATCCTCTTACTCAGTTGTGCTCATAGTATTTAGGGCAAGGGGCATGTGGAATAACAAAGGAAATGTCTCATGCGAAGTGATATGACTAATCAAAGTTCTGGGGTTGATTGATTTTCCACCTGGCCATCAGTATGAATTTACAGAAAGTCTTGTCCTTCTCTTCCATGTATGTTGAGCAGTCACTGAGTCATGTGACATGGATCAGAAATCCCCAGAGCTGCAGGTATTACCGTATTTTCCATGTATAAGATAATACTTTTGTCTAAAATCTTTAGATTAAAAATTGAGGGTCATCTTATACATGGAAGTGAGCCAAGGATAGAACTGCACAATTGCATAACGGCCCATACCTTGCCTCTGCAAACAGACTCCCTTCAATCATGAGGCTTAGCTTCCTACAGTCAGCAGACTTAGCTTCCTCCAATCGCAAGCCTTATGTAACTTATGTCAGCTGATGTAGAACAAACCAATTGGAACACACCTCCTTGGAGGTGGAGCATGTAGGCAGTGCTCAGATGCAACAGGGACTGCTAATGTCTGAGCGTTCTGAGCCCAGAGGCTGAACAAAGCAATGTCCTCAAAACTAAGTGTGGTGAATGCCATGACAGTACTGGTATGTAAATGTTACCTAATTACTAAGCAAAAATATATTCTGCTTTCTGTTTAAAATATTGATTTCTTAATTTTGGGTTAGAAAAGTGGAGGGTATCTTATACATTGGGGCGTCTTATACACGGAAAAATGTGGTTGGCTCTGTCTGAGCCATGAGGAGACAAGGTAGTTCTTCTGTGCTGAGGTGTTACTATTGCTTTCAAGTCTTTCTGAGAATCCAGAAGTGGGCTGAAAGGGTTAAACAGTTATTTTTAAAATATTGCTGTTAAAATATTCAGGCTTCATTCATTTCACTTTTTTTTATATATGAAGATGAGTCCTGCTGTGGGTTATGTCAGCCTTGTCAAATTCCATCTTGTCAGGCATCAGAAAGATAAATGGAACAAAGGATGGAGATAAAAAGTTAGGCGAGTATGTAAAGGAGAATTTAAGATATACAAAGGATGAATAGAAAACTCAAAAAGGAAAGAGGAAAGGGAGAACATGAAGCAAAGTAAGATACATGGCATGGAGAGTAAGGCTGCCCTTATAGTTTAGTCTACACATAATCACCCTATTAGGCAATTTTAACCATCCTCACACTGGCTGGATTCATATGAGCTGAATTACTTTCTAGTTATAAGTAATATAAAAGTTGCTGGATGCTAACTTTCGTCTGACCCATTCTGAAGCTTTCTTGTGAGAACAGCCTGGCATATTAGGGTAAGGTTAAACATAAATTAGACCATGTTTGGTTGCAATGGAAATGTAAGCAATAAATATCATCATGGGGTAAGGACAAGAATGTGATGCAATGGTATTTCCCTATCAAAAAAAATCCTTACTGTGGGGCACCTGAGTAGAAATGTTTTCAGTCAATTAATGAGTGAATTAAGGTAAGGATATGCCAAGTCCACAGCCACCCCCACCCTCATTAAGGAAATGTCCTGTAATGCAGCAATTCTCAGCCAGTGGCATATATACGAACTGTGGGACACAGAAGTAGCCTAGATGGAATGCAGAGTTTCATAGCAATTTCTACACATTTGTACTCCATCAGTTCCCATGATTCTCTGCCAGTGGGCTTGTGAAATTATTTATTATCCATTCTGCTAGTGGAATTATTAGTTTTCTTTCAGCAAAAACAACCAAGAGTCTCCTGGCGCCTTAAAGACTAGCAGGTTTTATCTGGCATAAGCCTTCATGAACTATAGCCCACTTCTTCAGATGTGTATACATTGTTTGTGTTTGCTCAAGGCAATCCTACAACATTTTTTCTGTCCTTGAACATTCTCGTCAATGATACCTGCAACAAAAGAATCTTGTAATCATATATGGCCTTTTTGCTTTTGCCCCAGCAGGACCCAGGTTTTGGGACATAAGGATTGAAAGGCCATAAAAGACCAAGAACTACTGCTGTAACAATTGTGAGGAGAAGCACTGGTTCCTCTCTAAATCAATTAGCCCAAGTACAGGTGTTGCCTCACCTGTACCCATTTCTCAGACTACCAGTGTTTGTTCACAAAGGCAATGACATTTTTCACAGGATTTATGTAATAAAAGTGGAAGAAAGCCATTGGTTCTTTTTTTTCCCTCTTACTTTATGGCTATGGGAGTGTTGCTCCTGGAAGCAATTTGTGGCTGTTTGCATCAGTCTCCACTAGTCAGGTGGGATGGGTGGATTTTGTTGGGCTGATGTACTAGGAAATAGTTGTTCCAGGCTGTTTTTCACAATATTGATTTTTGCCCCTGTTATGGCCCCTTCCTTTCTGTTCTAGCTTTTATCTATTCCATTGCATTATGCTGATTCCCTGTGATACAACACAATGTTCTGGGAGAGCATTCCCCCCTTCCCCAGTCCATTTCTCACTAGATGATATGCCTGTGTTCATCACCTAATCTTGCTAACATAATTGCTGGCAGCCAGGCGATTGTTCCGTTGGTGTTCCTTGTACAGTGGGGTCTTGACTTAAGAACGGCTTGAGTTAAGAACATTTTGACTTAAGAACCGCTCTCATAGGAAAATATTGACTTGACTTACATACTTAGATTTGAGTAAAGAACTAAAAAAAGCCCACGTGGGAGGCAGGGAAAGTGCAAAATGTGAACTTTCAGTTAACTGTTGGCCAGTGAAAAGGGTGCCTGTCTGCTTCCTCCCTCCTCCCAGCGTTTAGAGAGTGGATTGGGAGACAGTCTTCGGACTGCGTGGTATTGTACTGCCTGGACTGTATTTTCCCTGCTTTCCCTGAACCTTTCTTGACCTAAGAGAAAAAGAAACAATATATCCCCCTCTAGTGGTCGAAGGCAGAATAGCAGCTTCCCATTAGTTTCTATGGACGGAAAAGAGCAGATACGGATTAAATGGTTTTCAATGCATTCCTATGGGAAATGCAGATTTGACTTGAGAACTTTTTGACTTGAGAACTGCCTTCCAATACGGATTAAGTTCTCAAGTCAAGACCCCACTGTATCCTTTCCCTGCTTTGCTCAGAACTACACATCATCTTACTGTCCAAGAGCAGCAGGGGGAGCTGCTAAGTGTGGCAGTGTGATCCCCCTGTATTTTGTATCTGTCAGAACAATGTTCACTTGTAGGCCTTTCGGTAAAATATTTTACCTTGATCAAAAGCTTTATGAGGCTTCAATACGAAAAGAAGTTTCAAGCAGGCACTGACTCTCCTTTTCTTCTACATGTCATATAAAGAATGGTGTATCCAGAGATATGCCATAGTTGAAGAGGCCTGGCCCCAAAAGAGCCCATCTGCTAGCAGCAAGCTTCCTCTGCTTTCGAATGAGATCTCCTGCATGGCTACTGAGAGAAACCATCTCCACCTATCTGGCCTGGCTGAATCTATAGTAAGTCAGCCCCTTTCCAATGTCAGCTCCAAGGCTCCTTTCTCCTTGAATTTTATAGGTCACCATGCCCCTCAACAATTAAAGGAGAAAATCATTCTGGTAACGTGGGTCAAGAACGGATAAACCATCTGGACTTCAATTTTAAATCAAACATGGCTCTGCAAGAGAGAAACTTCTGCATCACAAGGGGATTGTTTCTAAAGAGTTAACTTTATTAAAGGTAAAACAGGTAAAATATTGTCTGAGGAGCAAAGCAGCAAAATTACACGGATTGCTTTCACCATCTCCAAGGCACAAGATTAGCAATAGGTAATCTACGAAATGTAGCTATTCTAACCTAACCAATTTAACTATCTGCTTTCAGCTTGGTTAACCCTTAACGGTACTACTTACTTAGGTATTGCATGTTGTTTCTCTAGCCCGAGAATCCATCATCTGCCATGGTCACACCTCTCTGACTGGGAAGGCAGGATATAACAACCACACTTTGTTTGGCTCTGGCCTCAGTACCTACCTTTTTCAGCCCTTTTTATTCGCGAAGGCTTTCACGGCCAGGATCTAAGGGTTGTTGTGGGTTTTTCGGGCTCTTTGGCCATGTTCTGAAAGTAGTTCTTCCTAACGTTTCACTAGTCTCTGTGGCCGGCATCTTCAGAGGACAGCACTCCCAAGCAAACTACACCAGAGCACAGAGTGCTGTCCTCTGAAGATGGCAGCCACAAAGACTGGTGAAACGATAGGAAGAACAACCTTCAGAACACGACCAAAGAGCCCGAAAAACCCACAGCAACCATTTTCAGCCCTTTGTTTATTCCTGATCTCCTGGCCTGGCAATGCACCTACAGATTTCCTCTTCCTATACTTCTGTGCTGGGGCCTTCCTTCCCTTCCCCCACCCCACTTCACACAAACATTGAAAAATAAATTCTGGTCACAATGGATGTGCTGGAAATAGATGTGTGCGTGTTCCCAGATGGAAAATGCTGCAGTTACAATCACAACTGTTCCAGCCTTTACACCACAAGAGTTCTCGGGTTGCTCTAGACAACAGTGCTCTTGTTAAGATATTAGCTAATTTTTCTTCGATGTCATGACTAGGGTCTGGTTAATAATTCATCATATAATCATTTAGCTGAGGATGCTGCCTTTTGTAAATTCAGAAATTATCCACATATCTATACTGTAATTTTCTGGAATTTATTCTTTATTAAAAATGGCTGCGTGAATAATTGTTTTCCTCTCCTGATTTGTGCTGAATAGGTCATTAAAAGGCTATAGCATTTATATCAGATTTGCTCTGTGGTCACAAACACAGAGAGACCTCTTCTCTCTCTGTTTTCCATTATAAGGAAACTTATTTCAGGGACACTTAGCTTTATTGCGATTGTGTGCAGTGCGGCCCTCTAATCTTTCTCTTTGAAGTCACACCTTTTTAACACCCTGGCCCACCTGATAAGCTATGGTAGTAGGGTTGCTTCTCAGACAGACAGGAAACGTTTTTGAAGTTTATTTTTTCTCTGTAGTCCTCTTTATGGAAATGGGGTATTGGCTGGAAACCACTGCCTTTTTCTCCTATATCCCTCCCACAGAACTGCACAGGTTGCTCACTTGCCTGCTTTGGATAGTATCACTCATGGGCCACAACCAACCAACCAAGTCCTTTACATGTACCACGGGTTTTAAACTCAATTTACCTGGGGGCCGCTAGAGACAGAGGCTGGGTGAGGCTGGGCTGCATCAGATTTTCCGCCAAGCGGAGCAAGACCCCAAGGAAGCCGCCCAGGAGTTTCCTTAGCCGACAGACAGGTGGGCTGGCTAGCAGGCTGCAGTTCTGGATGGAGGGTGCAAGAGCTGCTGTCTTGGGAGAGAGCCGGCGAGTGAGGCAAGGCTTTTTTTTAACTCTTGACAGCAGAGGATGTGTGGGCGCTTTGGGGGGGCAGGCAAGGTGAGGACCACAAACTATCATCTGGGGAGCCGCAAATGGCCCCCAGGCCGCATGTTTGAGACCCCTGACATATACCATTTCCCTGAGACCTGAGACAGTGTCCTGAGAGCTAGCACCTTTCATGAACCTAGTTCTTGTTGTTCCCACCAGCCTACAAGATTGCTAGTGGTACAAGGCAGGATACCCCAAAAGGGAACAGATTTCTTGAAATAAGAGATATCCTCAAGAGATATCTCTATTACAGACTTAATGCTTGGTGGAGAAATGAATGTGGACTGTAGGGCCCTGCTTACCAGGACATCCTCATTGCACTGGATTTTGGGAGGGATGGCAGAGACTTTGTACCTTTTACACAGCTGTCTACATTCTGAAATAGGCTACCATCTGACTGAACTACAGCCCGGACTTCACTCCTTGAGCTACTGACATCACTCTCCACCATGGTGAACCTTAACATCCTGCCATTCTTTTGTACTTTTTCAGCATGAGGGCTAGGTGCTTGTATGAGCCAACAGTCTGATTATTTGCATCAATAACCTGTGCCATCTCAAGCTATCTAAACTGTAACCAGGAAAAATAGCCATTTTAACCAATTTTAAGTCCATACATCAACTCCATTACACATTATAGGCACAACTGGGGATTATTTCAGTGCATGTCTTGATTTTCAGTCATTGTTAAACAGTGAGTTGTTCACTCAAATAGCAGCAGTTCTTGTTGTAGTTAGCACACCATTAGAACCATTCAGTGAAAAAAAATCTGATGGTCCTAGCATAAGCTTGCTTCACTCAATAGTTTTCCAGTTAGCTGGCTTTTGCTTTGAGAGTGGCCATTGGGAAATTAATTTGCAGGTTTGTTTCTTCTTTGAAGGAATTTTGTGTCTTGAAGGAAAATGTTGTGATAGTACAAAATATGTATTCCACTTACACACTTTCCTTGCACAAAAGAAGTTCCTCTTCGAACAACCCCTAGGAGTTCGAGACTCATCAGAGTTGGCTTTACTGATCTTATTTCACATGCCTCTCTTATCAGGATATCACTCTGTTACTCTTGGGTCTGTTTTTTTTTTTAAAGTAGACTGGCACCAGACCAATTTGAGCTACTGATATGGTCCAGAAAGAAAACTGAAAACATTTTTTGGGGGCCTGCTACTTTTTAAAAAATCCATCTACAATTATATCATTATGTCAGAAATAATTTCTGCTCCCTGCATTGTACTACATACTTTCTAGGCATCTTTGGCTTAATGGTCTTCACCAGGGGGCGGGAGGGGGGACTTCCAGCTGATGGCTATGAGAAGACATGGTTCAGTCAAGGAATCCTATTGAACTGGTCTTCCAACAAAGAAAACACTACAGTCAGGTAGGAGTGAGCTTGTAGAACACTGACGTGTTGGAATAAATGTACAGTCCATCCAAGGAGGACAAGTGAAAAAAGCACCCACCCAGGATTCCAACTGACACTCTTCTCTGTTGATGCCCCTTTATTTTATTTTATTTATTTATTTATACGAGGATGAGTGAAAAAAGCACCCACCCAAGATTCCAACTGAAACTCTTCTTTGTCATGTCTACTTTAGGGGTCATCTGCTCCTATTTAGTGTTATCTGTGGTCAGGCATTGTTCTATTAACTTGTGCTGAAAAAGCTGCTGCTCAGCCATGACTAATTTTCACTTACTAACTCTATTTCTGTAATGGAGCACATTTATCATAACAGTGTTATTA